TTTTGCAGTACAAATACTGAATTGGTAAGCGATTACAATATAAATAAGACTGAATACAAATTATATTACATTTAAAAAATTACAACCTATGCTATGGCTTACTAAGAAGATTATAAATATTAAAACTAACACTAATTTTGCGATGATTAATGAGAAAACCTTTTAGTTACATTTGAACTATTGTGAACAAATGACTATTTATACAAAAGGATTCACTTGGAATACCATTCAACATCCAGTTCAATTTAGTTTGATTGGATGCATTCGACCAAGTATTTCCTATTTACTGAGCGGCAGAGGTAAGCAAAATATTACGAGGAGCAGCGTAACGGTCGCAATGTAGAAAAAAGTGTTCGACTGTTTCATCTGATATTCCACAAGCACAGTGGCAAGGGACCACAATTCATGCGATATAGGTTGTAATTTAACGCACAATTTGTAAGAAATTCCATGTTTTTAAAACATTAAGTTAATGGTGCATTTTGGTATAAACATGTGGTAAGCATAAAAAAAACCGGTAACCTGAACTTGCAGTACGCAATACAGATCTAAACCAGAGAAGTGAAAGAACACCTGAAAATTCCTACTTATAGAATAGATAATAATACTGTATAGTCCGTAGTAAATTTGATACAATTAATTGCTATAATTGTTTTATGAGCACTTGGAAGATACTCTATATTATATATGCATGTATATCATAAGTCTATATACTGACGTAACTGGACACGATTAAGGTTATATTCATTGGTATTGTCTCCATATTGAGTGCGAATGGGCGAAGATTCTAATTGCTGCTGGAAAGAACATTGACCCTGAGATGTATCCCAAACTTATTCAAGGTGATCGCCATATCAAAGACCTTGCCAGTTGGTACTGCAACCGTGGAAAGAAGCTTCATGCAGTGTTATGAATCGGATATTGAGCTGGGCTCGTAATGAATACAAATCGTTTCGCCCCCCACGTCAATTTGCCCCAAGTCGTCACCGACTTTGTCAAACCTTTTCACGCTTTTGTTTTTGTTTGAAATGTCAGCTTTGGCTTTGACAAGTTTGAAGCGTGCATGCATTAGCGTTGGCCAGTGACTTTATGTTGCTATCCATGTATAAAGACCTGTTAAAAAGGATAAACTTGGACAAAGTGCTTGATCGATGGGTAAATCAAAAATCCTGAATAGTACAGTTTAAGTAAAGACTTGGAGTGTAGCTAGCGCTTAAAACTAATTTAATCTGACTTTTTTCAGAATGCATAACACTCAATGTGTGACTTGTGAGATCATAAATTTAGAATACTTTAGCTTGTTTTTAGCTTGTTTCTATTAAAACTTGCCATTTTGTTGCTGTTGTTATTGTAACAAATAGTGCTTCCTTATATTGTGCTTTCATTTTTCAAAATGAATTATGAAATCTAGCTAAAATATAATTTTAGTAAAATTTATTTTTTTTTTGGGGGGGGGGGGCGATCGCCGCCACTGCTTGTGATACAACATCTTCAATGACATTGTTCGACAATGTAATTGGGGGATGAATCGGTGGAGGATGAATCCAAATTTCACATTCGATTTCATCAGCCAAAGAGAGTTTGTGCTTTTTGACAAGTTTTACTACATCCCGGGGCAGGCCTTAAAAGATCTTTTTTAAGGTGGTTTCCTCTCTACGTCGGGCAATTTCACGAATGGGTTGGACAATGTCCATGACCGACCGATATTTTAAGAGCCTGGCCGGGCATATTATTTCCAGAAAGAAAGTTTAGGTTAATATCATGCTGTGCAGGGTTGTTATAGATGAAGTATAATCGATTGTGGAAAAATAATCGATTAAACGAGAGCAGCTCTATATCATAATAATTAATTACCCAAGCATCTACTTTTATGTTGGGCTATTCCAATTTTGAACGCACCCCCCTGTCGAGGAACCTTGGAATTCAAGGGGGGGATGGAGCATAAATTTTGTTTGGAATTTCCATGGGGGTGGGGTGTCTTTCTATGGGGAGGGTGCAAACAAAGGGGTTCCTCAACAGGGGGTGCAGAAAAAATTGGAATTGCCCATTATATTATAATCATGTGAGAGCCTAAGATAAACATTTTTATGTTTTCAGCTCGAACATGTAGTATCACAAACAACATCAAAGTGATGCATACATGTTGGAAATCAACAAGTTTATAGTCGATTTTCTTACAGAAACAGTTTACCTTTCCTCACCTGTTTTAACTTTAAAATGCTTTACACTTCGACCTGAACTCAAATCATACACGTTTCCAAAACACAGTTTAAACACTCGAATTTCGTATGGAATACCAACTGTAGTCACAATCTCGCTTGGAACGCCTATCTCGCCTTGGAACGCCTTGGAACGACTGTCCTCTTGATAATCCAGAACCTCCAGATCTAGATATAATAAATCCGAAGCAGCCGAGGTAAACAGTTGTTCCGTGTTGTACATCTTGAGGTCACTGTCCATCTTTGTTGTCTGCTGTGCGAATAGCTTGGATAAATTGTGGTCGTTTTCTTTCGCAATTTCGCATAGAATAGCCATTTCGCTTTGGCATGAAATGCTCACTTCATAATCTAACGGACATCTACGGCAATCTTCTATTTTAAAGGCTTGTACGGGTCCAACTGACGAGCCAGCCGAGGTAAACGGTAGTTTCTTCGAGGCGAAATAAAGTATAAAACAAAAAACGAAAAAGGAGTACATCTTGAGGTCACTGTCCATCTTTGTGAAGGCTTGGGCCTCCAATTTCGTTGTCTGCTGTGCGAATAGCTTGGATAAATTGTGGTCGTTTTCTTTCGCAATTTCGCATTGGCATGGAATGCTCTCTTCATAACCTACCGGACATCTTCGGCAATCTTTTATTTTAAAGGCTTGTACGGGTCCAACTGACGAGCCAGCCGAGGTAAACGGTGGTTTCGTTGAGGCGAAATATAAAAGTATAAAGTAAAAGACGAAAAATGAATACATCTTGAGGTCCTTGAGTTTTAATATAATAAAGACGAAAGTTTTGGCATATTTAGGCGCCACTCACGGGTGCCTAAACCTTTCTTTTTTACTTGAAGGCCCCCCATGTGAAAACCCTCCTTGTACAAAACCTAAAGACGAAGTGAAGAGTGAAGGTTATCTACTCTGTGGTGAAGACGAACGTCAAACTTGACCTTTTATTGCCAGTGTGTGTGGTGCGTGGGTGGCTGGTGCAATATTGATGGTGCAATATTGATGGTGTAATCAGTGCTTCCACAAGTCGGAAAAAAATTTCCCTTTTTGAGCGTTAAATTTCCATTTTTTTCAATTTTTTTTCGTTAAATTTCCTTGCAAAAATCACGAAATTTCGCTTATTATTGCGGTGCCCAAAGTTTGGCACCGCATTATATTCTGCCTGTGAGTTTGTTAGTTTGTTAGTTTGTCCGTTTGTTAGTTTGTTCGTTTGTTAGTTTGTTCGCATCAATACGTTTCCTTAATCGCCTACAAAAAATTCCTTTCACGTGCTCGGAATTTATGAATTTATTAATTATTATTAATCGTGTACTCTCATGATGATCGACTGTTTGCTCAGCTTTATCTCTGGTTTTATGCGTCAAATAAGGACAAAAATACCACTGTTCGAATCAGCGTGAAAAGTTGTGTTTACGGATGGAAAATTGACTTCTATTCTAGCGATTTGTCGTCTTTGAAAGACAAAAGCCGCTCAAAATAATCCTTCACGTTTTCCGAATTTCTTTTTTCGAGGAAAGTTTTCTTTCGAATTAATCTCGAACTTTCACGATTGACTTTTTGCTGCGACTTATCTCTGGTTTTATGCGCCCAATAAGGACAAAAATACCACCGTTCGATTCTGTGTAAGAAATTATACTCACAGAAGTCAAGTGTATTACTAAACTACAGTATTCTAGCGATTTATGGCCTTTGAAAGACAAGCGGAATTGTATTGTTCACAAATCGCTCAAAATTATTAAACTAATTAAAAATGCAATGCATTTGACCTTGATAACTTTCGTATTGTTGGTTTTCTCTTTTTCGTCCGTATACCAGTCGATTTGTCTCACTTTTCTCTTTATTTTGTTTGTAGTTTGAGCCCAAAATATTATATTTTGAAGGTTTTAATGTGCAGTTTTAATAAGCAAAATTGTATTGTTTACAAATCGCTCAAAATTATTAAACTAATTAAAAATGCAGTCCGTTTAATCCTTGATAACTTCGGAATTGTTGGTTTTCTCGTTTTCGGCCGTATGCCAGTGTATTCGTCTCACTTTTCTCCTCATTTTGATAGTATTTTGAGCCCAAAAATTTTATTTTGAAGGCTTTAAAACGCAGTTTTGATCCTAACGTACGGACCAACTGGCGGCCGACAGGAGAATGTGTAGCGTGCTAAATATAACTTTACTTGTACATGCAGGCGGAAACGCCAAAAGTTTTATTTGTAGGCGGGCACCGCATTTTAGTACTGTGTCAGCCTAGACCTAGGCCTTCTGTTTTTATTTATATTTTTTAATCATTTCCGGCTTTCCATGAAAAGACTGGAACTAGGTGATTTGGGGGCGGGGCGGAGGAAGGACACAACTCCGCCACGCCCCCAAATCACCTAGTCCCAGTCTTTTCCTGTGAAAAAGCGCTAAATATTAAAAAAATATAAATAAGACTAGAACTAGAAGGCCTAGGTCTAGGCTTGTACTGTGTCTGGTTTTCTTTCTACTCGGAGAAATTCCTGCCTCAGAAACTGGGAGATTATGAAGCATATCACAACCTTGTACCCTGGGTTTCTGCATTTATGGCTCAAACGCAAAGCCCTGGGCAAGAACAAAAATATTGAACACATCAATCCTCGATCACCAAGCCTCATCCATAGCCTTGGTACTAAGGGGTGGACCATTAGAAAAGTGATGGAGAGTGAGGGGCGTTTTCAACTTGCACGAATATTTTTTCGGAAATTTTTTGTTTGTCCATTAATTTTTTAAAATATATTCCCTTGCACGAATTTCTATTTATTTTACTTATAATTTTTCCCTATTGAAGTCTCTGCAATTTCTTTCTGTTGTTCCCCTTGTAATATCTAAGTACTAGGTATATATTTGTGCTATAGAATATATTTAGTATAACATAACGATATAGTTCTTATTGGTGTTTTAGTGTGTGTGTGTGTCCCTTCTACACAACGTGTCCTATCTATCTATATTTAATTAGTTCCGACCGTATAGTCCTGGTGCCGAGTGAATGACATGACGTCATTACTATATCACTCCCCTTTTTTTTATCTAATTACCGACGAGGGAATTCCCTCGCCATATCGTTCTGGTTGCCTGACATTCCTTGTCGATCGTCTTGGCTCAGGGTTACTAGTGTCAACTCTGTCTCGTTCGGTCCTTTCCGCGTCATACGTTTCACTGTCATCGTCGTCGTCGACTTGAACATCAATCTTTGGCTTCAGTATTGGCTTGAAGTGTGATACATTGCGAGTTATAGTGTGTCCTGTCTGACTACGTGCTGTCACCGTGTTGTTGTTTCGCGAGATGACAATGTGGGGTGTTTCATTGAAATTAGGGGTGAGTTTGTTCCGTCTCTCTTGCTTCCACAAAACGTAGTCGCCAACTTTTATTGGGCTTTCTCTAACGTTTCTCTTTTCATCAGCGTAACGTTTGTTATATTGTTGTCTTTCACCTTCCTTTTCCCGAGCCTCGTTGTGACGGTTAACGAGATTGCGTTTTTGTAAAATAGGGAGTTTTCCTTGAACTTGGCGATTAAATAACAGTTCAGAGGGTGGAACACCAGTGGTACAATGCGGTGTGGTGCGATAGTGCAACAGGAAACGACTTAGCTCTTGTTTCCATGGACGACCGTCAAGTTTAGCAGCTTTCAGGGATTTGCCCAAGGGTTGCATGAAGCGTTCTACCTCAGCGTTGCCTTGGGGCCATTTGGGAGTAGAGAAGATTGCCTTTATTCCAAGGGCAGTGAGATAGCGTTGGTATTCTTTGCCATTGAAAGGGGGACCATTGTCGCTTTTGAGAAGGGTAGGAATGCCATGAACGGCAAAGATCTTGTCGAGTTTTGGTATCACAGTAGAGGCTCTCGTGGAGTGGACAATTTCGACCTCGGGAAACCGAGAATATCTATCTACAACGACAAGAAGGTATTCTCCAGTGGGTAGAGGACCATAGAAGTCGACATGAACAGTTTGCCAAGGTCCATCAGGCATGGTGGTGGGGGTGATTGGTGCTGGTGGGCCGGGTCGGCCAAGGGCTTGGCAAGTTAAACAGCGATCAAGAGTTGTTTTAACCATGGCGTCGATATTCGGGAACCAGATTTTTTCGCGAATTAATGCTTTAGTTTTGGTTAGACCAAGGTGCGTCTCGTGGGCGATGTCGATCGCGCGTTGTTGTAAAGCTTGGGGGATGACAATTCGATGTCCACGCAGGATAATGCCGTTGTTAGTGACTGTCAATTCGTCTTTGATGTGTTTGAATGACGTCAGAATGTCGGTGGACCACTTGTTTGTACGTAAACAAGTCACGAGCGTGGACAGAGTCTTATCTGCACGTGTAGCTGTGGCAATTTCGTCGAGTGGCATGGCGCGGGGGGCAGTGTCGTTCAATGAAGTTGACATATTCTTCAGCCATGCGATCCGGGTGTGACATGCGTGGTGATGCAGGATGACGTGATAAATAATCAGCGGGGTTGGTGGCACCAGGTTTGTAGATGACGTTAAAGTGGTACGGTTGTAATCGCAGAACCCAACGTTCTATACGTGCAGACGGTTTCGACCTGGTGGTGCCGTAAATGATTTCAAGGGGTTTGTGGTCGGTTACCAACGTAAAATGATGTCCAAACAGGAACATGTGGAAATGTTCGACAGCCCAGACGATAGCGAGGGCTTCTCGTTCGGTTTGGGAATAACGTGTTTCGACGGGCGATAAGGCACGACTGGCGTAAGCAATGACTTTGGAATTTGCGACATTTGACGATTTTTGTGAGAGGATAGCCGATACCCCGACAGGGCTTGCGTCGACGACAACAAATGTTTCTTTATGGATGTCGAAATACGCCATGCATGGAGCTGACGTTAGAGCGGCTTTCAGGTTGTCGAACGCGTTTTTATGTGCCGTGGTCCACACAAATGGTGTGTCGTTTTTCGTTAAGAGACGGAGGGGGGCAGTGATTGTTGCAAAGTTGGGGATGTATTGACTGCTGTAGTTCGCCATACCAAGAAGGCTTCGGACTTCTTGGACAGTGGTGGGTGTGGCCACATTCTGGAGGTCGACGACTCGTTGAGGGTCTGGTCGCGTGCCATCGGCAGAGAAGATTTGACCGAAAAATTCCAATGTGGGATTCAATAATTTACATTTACTGGCGTTGAGGGTCAATCCGCGGGTTGTTAGACGTTGTAGGCACTTGTCTAGATTTTCATCGTGTTCCTTGCGAGTACTTCCATAACCGATAATATCATCGGCTATGTTCTTGACTCCGATGAGTCCTTGTAATTGTGTCTGAAGCGTGTTTGGAAAATCTCGGCGGCAGCGTTTGTCCCATAATTTAAACGTTTATAGCGATATAGCCCGATGTGTGTACTAAATGTGGTGATATGTCGGCTTTTCGGATCGAGTTCGAGTTGGTGGTACGCCTGGGATAAGTCCAATTTCGAGAAATATTTCGCGCCGTTCAGTTCAAATCTTACGTCATCAACCGTAGGTATCGGGTGTCGGACCCTTTTGATCGCCTCATGCGCTTGTCGCATGTCAACACAAATACGCACTCCGCCGTCTTTTTTTGGCACGGCGACAATAGGAGAGACCCAGGGGGTTGGTTCATCTTCAGGCACTCGTTCGATTATGTCGTCTTTTTCAAGGGTTATGATTGCATCTTTAACTTTGTTTCGGATGTGGTAAGGGATGCGGCGCTGTGGTTGAGCTTTAGGATTAGCATTGGGATCAATGTTTAGGTGGACGGTCTGACCTTTCAGTTTTCCCAATCCGTCGAAAACTTTGGCATTTCTCTCGAGAATGTCATTGAGTTTGGGATCTTTATTAGGATTTTGCGGCAAAGGTTTGGAAATGTTGTTGAGGTGAAGACTGACGAGATCCAGTTCTTGGGCTGTTGACAAGGATAAGAGGTTTTCCGCTTGTTGAACCCTGTGCGACATAAAAGGTCGCCGCGGTAATTTTTCGGCGCGTTTCGACAGTTGCTGTAAACTTCCCAAGGAACGGTACCGGGGTTGTAGAGTTGTACGCAAATGCTTTCGTTGTTGTCTTTTGTAGAGAGATACCGCGCAAAGTCTTATATGTGCGTTCATCGATCACATTTATAGTTGCGCCTGTGTCAACTATTGTGCTAAACGAATGGCCACCCACTGTGACGTTAACTCGAGGGCTTTTATCGAGGCTGTGAATTCCGTAGATATAATCGTCATCTGAATCACCGGTGTTGTAATGCTCGAGGGGTCGTATCAGGTTTCGTGTGGCGTTGCTATGGTAATTCTGAGTGGAGTCTTGCTGTGCGATACTGCCACTTGGTTGTGTAATAGGTCTGCTTCGACAAACGCTTTGAAAATGGTTAAGTTTGCCACACTTTCGACACTGTTTGCCTTTCGCGGGGCAAAGACCTTTGTGAGGAAAAGATCCACCACAATTGCGACATCCCGTCGGTCTGTAGAGAGCGTCAATTTCGTCAAAGGTGCTCGTTGCGCTGTCGGGCGATGTCGATTCGATGTCTTTAGCTTGGAAAGTGCTCTGTTCGTCTCGGCGGCCTTCTAAGAGCATGGCAGCTAGATTAAAACTTGGATCACGCAACGCACGTTTGCGGATTTTCGAAGAGGCCCCTCCAATAATTATTTGTTCTTCGAGTTCGAAATCTGGCGATGCGAACTCGCAAGTTTGGGCTAAAGTTCGAAGCCGGTTGTGGAACTGATCGAGAGTTTCCCTTGGTTCTTGCACAGCCTTTCGAAATCGATACACCTCGTAGCGTCTGTTTTTCTGCGGTTCGAAATGGGCAAGTAATTTCGCTTTGGCAATATCATAGTCTTTGTCTTCGCCAGTGTCAGGCAGTTGTTTAAAGATTTCGCGCACTCTTGCGCCAGCTTGGTATAGCAACAAAGCTCGTTGTCGTTTAGGATCTGTAACGCCACTAGCCAGGAGAAACATGTCAAAGTCTGCGACCCAGTTTTTCCAACGTGTAGCGACGCTCGCGCCAAGTTCAGCGTCGGGATTAAACTCGGGCATTGGGCGAATAGGTACTGAATGTGCCATGCTGACTGTTGTTGGATTGTTAGGTTGTTGTTCCATAAAATTTACTCCTCGTCGCCAATGTAATATCTAAGTACTAGGTATATATTTGTGCTATAGAATATATTTAGTATAACATAACGATGTAGTTCTTATTGGTGTTTTAGTGTGTGTGTGTGTGTCCCTTCTACACAACGTGTCCTATCTATATATATTTAATTAGTTCCGACCGTATAGTCCTGGTGCCGAGTGAATGACATGACGTCATTACTATATGGAGTAGGACTCTGGCAGGAAGTTATTTATGTCACCTGGACACACAATGCTAGACGCCTCTTATTTATCACAGATAGTCTGGTTAGATTTCCATATAGTCGGTCGTAGTGCAGTCCTTGGATCGCACCATGATACATTTAAGATTCTGCGTAGCATACGGGTGTATGTACCGTCAAAAACTTTTCCAGAGAAATGTTAAGAACAATCAGGAAAATTAATTGTTTGGTCTTTAAAGGAAAATGGCAAAAACAATTATGTTTGCCTAATTTGAAAAAATGTTAAGATTATTTACAATTAAAATCCTTTTTACCAATTCTCCCAAACTATCTTAATTTTTGAGATATTTGAAACCAAAACATCCTGCCATCCCCCATCTTGTTTTATAATTAGATCTAATTAAATGACGTCACAACTGGGGTAGATGTTTTAAAACTAAAAAAAATAGTATCATTGGAAAGCTTAGATATACATAGTTTGCATATTAATTTTAGAGTACGCAATAGTAAAAATAGGATTTAGCATTAAAATAGCCCGAGATTTGCTCAAGATACACAATTATAGTGTTACCCTAGTTGTGACGTCACGCTTATCCAACAATGGGTATACATATCGAAGGTGGCGGAATGCCTAATGATTTTATTTGAAATGAACCAAGCCAGAACAACACCAAAGAAAAACGTTGCGCATGCGCAAGATCTAAAAATGGCGAACATTTTAAATTGTATAACTCGAAACAAAAACATGGCTATTTATTCACTCGATATAAGTGAAACAAACAATATAAATTAAATTTTAAAAATCTGGTTTGAACGGGGATGTATCGACCGCTTTGTGCAAAATGATCGATTACCAAAGTTTAGACGTAAAAAATAAGCAAACTCTTAAGTAGATACTGTAAGGCTCTTATATTCGAAATAAGGTTCTTATATGGTAGATAAGGCTCTTAAATCGTACGAGTGAGTTATAAAGTTTAATTGTTTTGTTTTTGTTTTAAATGTGGATCATATGAACGTACGAAAAATATCTTTGTATACAGTAGTTCGGTTAAAGAACTGTTTATACAATAAATGTATCGACAGTCACCTTTGGTTTTGGTTCGTTTTCTTGCATAATGCTACTACTTGCACATGTAGACTGTAATTATTTCTAGTTTTTAGGTTGTCAGATTCATTATTTCGCTTGCGTTTTCATAGAAAAGGCAAAACATCGAAGTCGCTTCCATTTTGAGTTTTTGACAACCTTCGGAACACTTGACACCACGTTCACAAGGCAAATTTCAGTAAGTCTGACGAATGCGCAGACGTTTTTCCGCGGTGTTACTTAAGAACGATAAAGAAAATCTGTAAAACGGTTTTGATATTTTCTTTTAATTTTTCTTTAATGTATAACCGTTGCAGGGTATTTCAACCAATTACGCTTTGTCTTGGAAGAACGTATACCGTCATCATTAGAGTCTGGTTCATCCACCCCTCTCGCCGACAGTCTTATTGATCTCATGACAAGACCAATCCGTCAGATATGTTCTTCTTCCAGAGATAACGAAAGGTACGATACTGTACATAGTCTTCACGGGAATGTGCCACCATAAGTTCGTAATATATTAGCATTATATTTATTTATTGTCATAAAATTGGCTCAAATGAGCGAAATATTCATAGTCAGTGAACCAGGCTGTCACTCTTTTTTCATGCAGTAAGAGCACGAGATAGCTTTATCATGATTCTTGCCATACATTGTTTTATACCTTGGAAACCTCATATCTCTTACATTGCAAGTAAAATTTCAAAATTAGTGGGAATAATTTATAAGTCAAGTTTTTATCTTTCTAAACCCTTACTACGATCATTATATTATTCAATGATTTATCCATATTTATTTTATTGTAATATTGTTTGGGCTTCAACTTATAAATTCAACCTACATCGTATTGAAATTCTCCAAAAACGAGTCATCAGAATCTTGAATGGGGCCACGTATGATGCTCATACTGATCCTATTTTTAAAGAACTCAAAATTTTGAAATTTGCGCAAATTCATTTCTTGCAACTAGGTTTATTTATGTTTTCGTATAATCGATCGATGTTGCCAAGAAAATTTGAAAACATGTTTACTTTAAATTATCAGGTGCATTCTTATAATATTAGATCGTTGAATAAATTCCGCCTTCCTCTGTGTAGATTAAACATTAGAAAATTTTCCATACAATTTCAGGGTCCAAAATATTATAATTCTCTTTCTCCGGAATTTTTGAACTGTTTTTCTATCCATTCATTTAAAGCAAAGCTTAAATTCTATCTTATTAATAATTGAACTTGAAATTACTTTGTTATGTATAAATGTTTCTTTATGATCAAATTCATTCTAACTATCTTCAATTTGTGTATATAATGATTGTATTTTATTTTGTATAATTAATATGTCAATTATCAATTAAGATCTAATAAATAGCTTATATTATCTGATAAATTACTGACCTTTTTTCCATATTCATATAGTCTCTTAAGGAAGCTTAATATCAAATAAGCCGAAATGGTTTCTCTATTGGGCTTCCTTGCTACTAACATATAGTAAACATACACTATTGTATAAATATATATATATAGTCACAACCACCTGGCCAAATATTGTTTTGTTTGTAAATAGTGTGTACATGTAGTCATTGTACTCGGTGTGTAAACGATGTTAGTGGTGAATTAAATTATTATTATTATCTCAACTGTGAATCACAATGCAATTATCCAGCCTAGCTTCCTCCCCAGGCAACTCGGAGGTCAAAGGCAATACTTAATCAGAAATGATGGTGGTATACAGCTAATTCAAAAAAGGTTGTCCTTTGCAAAGCTTAAACTCTCAGTCTTTAGTTTCAAACACCTTAATGTCATTGAGAAACAGCTTCGTCTGTAATCGCGAAACTCGTTGAAATTGGGGAAAATGAGAAATTGTGTGGAAACACGACGCCTGGAGCGCGGAGTGTTCTCACACAATTTCGAGTTGATATAACTGTTTATCAACATGGAAAATGTTTTATATTTGTTAAGTACAATATCACATAGTTTAATTTCACTTGGCAATGACAATGTGTTCCAAAGTTCAGCAGACCTAATAAAGCAGGAATTGCGATAATAGTCCTGCTTGTACTTACAAATTAAATTATAGTTATTTGGATCATATTAAATTTCGGGTCCGAGATCGAGGTTCAAACGTGTCCAGATAATTATTAATATATCCGCTGTTATCAAATTATTGTCCAGATTTAAATAGAAATAGTTCCTCCCTCCGATACTCTATAATGGCAATAAGTTCAAGTTTATTAGTCTATCAGTATAAGACATATTCTGAGGATAATTTAGTATGAATTTTGTTGCTCTTCTTGAAACGTTTCCGATTAGCTGATGGTGTTTATTGGTAGATGGAGACCATAGACTGCATCCATAAACTCTAATTTAGGCCGTACTAATGCGCAGTATAATAACTTTCTCGTGGATGGATCACGCACATCATGGCAGACTCTTTTAAGTAGCCTGAGAATCCTGTTGGCCTTTATTGTGTTTTATACATTTGGTACATGGCGACCGTTTGCTGACTTTGGTACCTATCTCTGGTTATATTATACTATGATCTAAAGTGTTCTTTTGTTGTCTTCTCTCTAATGTTTCCCACCCAAATGAACTTGTGCATGATTTGGGTAGTAAATATTATTATTTGGATATTAAACAATTTTTTGTTTTAGATTTGCTCTACTATCTTCATTTGCGGAAACTGTTTTTGTTCCGAAATTATCTGATCAAGTGAGAAATTGTCTTCTGCCAAAACTTAAAGATCCTGAAGTATTTCCATTTAAAGATCTTCTCCAATGTTTGAAAAATACTGAATATACATCCAGCGCTTACCTGCTGTATTCTGTTTTGGAGCTGGCTCAATCCAACGCTGGTAGGTATACAATGGTGGAAACTTGAAACATACATAACCTGCAAAAATATTTCATTTTCAAAGACAACAAGTAACAGTAAATTAGTTTCGTCGAGTAAAAGCAATTAATTGTTCGTGCGATTCCACTTGCAGTTTAAATTAAATATGTGTTCATGTTGTAGAAACTCTGAAATCGTCAGACATGCCACTTTATCTGGAAACTATTTTACATATACTGAAGAAGCTTCCTCCTAAAGGTATTTCTACTTTCTCATAATTTTTGGGAGCGTACATCAATTTGTTTAAAGTTAATTTACATAATAGTTTTATCTCTTGTTGTAACAGTGGAAAAAAGCGAGGTGCAAGAAGAGTTCGAGGACTCAGATGATGAATCAGCTTCAAGTTCTTCTCAGATGCAACAGGTAGTAGTTTTACTTATGGCAGTTTTACAATAGCAATTGCAACAGGGGTTCTGTATTCTGTTTTGTATCCTTGAAGTACTTATCCATTGTATCATATCTCATGTTTGTAATGAACATTTAGTTTACATATGTACAAGGTTACATATGTATGGAGTGTACAATTATTTATATACTGTATGCGGCTTCTACGATTATTAAAAACCACCAGTGTAAAATATGGAAAAAGTCCAACACTTTGAAGGAAGGTCCTTTCCTACAAACGCCTGATTACGGAGACCATGCAATACAACAGACATTGGACAACAGTCTTTTAGTACGCGGGGAAACTGATACCGTTCGGTCGAGTGTCGACTGGCTCTTTTCAAGTAAATAGTTCATCCAGAATCGAACAGTGGATCTCAGGATGAAGAATGAAACTACGTACCAGTAAATGGACTGATTGAGTAGAACAGCTGTTGTCTTGATTATCATGATTACTTTGTATTTTAATTTTTTGTTCAGGATTCGCAGGAAAATGATGACCTGGGAGAAATTTGTGAAAGTTGTTTTGAATTGTTGAATACGAGATCTCATGTGAAGCTATTATTAACACCAATAGAATCAAGGTACTGCATGTACATGAACATACTGTACACTTTCACCCTAAAAAATTAATAATCTCTCAAGATAGTCAACTGACTGAGCGACGTGGTTTACTGTCCATACTATACTACCATAACAACATTGTACCTTGTGTATTAACAGTCATGCATTTTGTGTTTTAGATCGCTTGAAATAAAACCAAGTGAAGATTGCATAAGACTCCTTTCTCTCATTGTTAGCAGTTTGGTTTTTGATCAAAAATGCCGTATCCATAAATCAAGGTTTGTAAAAAAAAATTGTGATTTGTTATTTAATAATAAATATGTGTTTACGCTGTCCCCAGCGTTGTTTTTGTGGTTTGCTAGAGATTTTAGTGATTTAACAGACTCTGATTATATTTGCTGTTAACTCTTGTATGCAGGCTTTTGTTGACTCTATCGTTCAATCGATGCTTCTTTAAAAAACTGTGGAGAATGATCAATCAAGTTTCCCTACAATCCAGTATGGGGTAAGTTGCATAGTGTTTTGAGTACACTTTTCCCGGAGGTTTGTTCCCTTACAACACACATCAAGCACAAACTATCATGCAGCCAATCTGCTTTCGCAAATTGTTCTGACACGCCAATCAAGTACACCGCTGCTCTTAGATCCAGCTTGTTAACATGGACTGTAGTCATTACATGCTGACAACTTCATATAATTAAGGTTGATAACCATAAACAATTTATTGACTGGTTGTTCGTGACAATCCGTGCAAACAAAAGGTATAATTATAAACTCTTTCACTTTATTTATTACTGTAGTTCCTTCTACAGAAGGTTTGCATACGGTAATTGTTTTGTAAAGTTTTCCAGAGCTTTGCTAAGTAAATAAACACGTGCATGGTGTTTTCCACAATGAACTTTTAATTATTAACTTAGACAGTCGTTTCCAAGCTTACATACTGCATCTCCCGGGAATTCCTGGAGAAAACCATTGTATGCGGGGGGAAACATTGTTTGACAAAGGAGAAATTATACAACATGCAGAAGCGAAATTATAATCAGACGAGTGAATGTATCCAGGTGATCTTGATACGCGGAAAAGTACTGGCACTAGTTGTCAAATAGAAATCCATTTTGTGATTAAAACAACTGAATATCTCCTGTAATATACTTTATTTCGATTCCATATTTTTGTCAGAGCTATAGTTCTCATAACCAAACATAATTACAAAATTTCAACTAGTTTCCTAAAGAATAACGAAAGATATAATTGACTGAATACATCAAAATGGATTTCTATTCGGACAACCCTTTCTGAGCGCTGATTGGCTAAAATACGAACACGAGATCACCTGGATTGCAGAGGTGGGAGGGCATGGCTTACCTACTATAAAACCAACACGGTAAATCTTTCGATACCACCGTGAATTATTTTCACTGTGTGTACATCAAGTCAGTTCCTTTTTCGTGTTCTTTCTGTTTTCTTTGTATTTTCGTATTAAAATATCGAACTTTTGATACTCTCGCTTATGGTAGTTATGGATTGTATGCACATTAATTAATGTGTTATTGTTGATATAGGAAACAAATTTCTTTGCTCCAAATGGTGATTCATGGTAACAATCTGAGGAACTGGGAAGCAGAATGTATAGCTCCTCTTCTTGCAGTCTTTTGTTTCCTGCTTGCAAATCTTCTGTTTTCATTGCACGATATCGATTTTCATTCACAAGATTCAGGTGAGTCAAACCTTAGGAAAGAACGTGTTTTTCGTTCTGGAAACCTGGTTAATGATTTCGTGCAATTCCCTGCGAATTTAGTAACTCCGCAGACGTCAGTATTATAATTAGAACCAACTAGAGCATAAAAAACTTCTAACCTGACAAAAGGCCTTTGCTCGTAACGTTAAAGTGATATTGATCATTTCCATATAATTCAAGCCCAAACTCTCGACAGTTTACCTGACAGTTAAGACCCTTTTATAGTGTATACAATCCAGCGATTTTGAGTTCTCTGTGGTTTGATGTTGGTTTGATGTATATAATTATTCCCTAGTAGGGAGTTTAAGCTCCACGTTTCCGGGAACGGCAAACGGCAGGTTCGAATTTTCATGGCAAAATTTTTGTTGAACGTTCTCGTTTTATATTTTCCTTCTTGTGTCGAAAGAATAATTATGTATTTCAGTTTTAAAACAGCAAGTTAATTTACTCTTTATTGTCTGATACCATCCTCGTCCCCAGGCCCAAGCTCGGCCCTTTGCCTGCCATTTGCCGTTTAACGCGAAGCTTAAACTGTCTAACATAGAATGCCATACTCGTTTAAATTCTCACAGAAAGTCCAATATTCTTGCCCACAAAATGGCGTATAATTGTAATCACTTTTGGTCAATTTTAGTAAGGCGGTTTGTAAGAGTAGTACGCTTGAGCGAAGAACGGCCCTATATTGCATGATGGTACCTAAAAACTATACTATCTGAGGCTACTGAACATCGTTGTTACCCGAGAAAACGTGAATGATCTGGGGCCGGTTGTACGACGGACGGATAGGGATATCCATTCTTGACCATTCTATAGTACAGCCAAGATGAAAGTTTAGGTCCATATCTGTAGTTTCCGGTGCATAGCACTATCCTGCTTTCGTACAACCGGCCTCTGATCTATTGAGTGAAGCTCAATCATTTTGCCAATCAAAACTTAGTTAATGTTGTTCTCTAGAACGACAATTTTAAATAATGCACATGCCAATTGACATATGTACCTGTTGTAAAGAATTCCCTGACTTGTATGTTTTCGTGTTTCAGGTGCTAAGATCCCTTTTACTTTGGAAGAACTATCAGACATGGGTAGAACGCTGTGTGAGGCAACACTTGGGGTTATTGACATCATGAATCGTGAAATAAGGACAACCACTGTACCTAATTATGATCTCAGATCTAAAGTTGCTAAAGTTCGTCTTGCGGAAACACTTGAAAATGAGATGTACAGTAAAGATAAATGGAATGAAGTACTAGAGGTAAGATCCTACTCTTGCTTGCTTGTACAATAAACATATTTAATATAACTTTAATATTTAACAATTATTCACCAAAGTGGTGGTGAACAATGCAAGGATATCCGGAATTAGGCAACCAATCAAATTGTGTGAAAAGCACTATCCACTTTCAGTATTTTTCCACAAGTGAACATAACAAATCCTACAAGGTGATTGGTCAAATTTGACGTATCATTTATAGACCCGGAGCGAGGGGGATTCGGCGTAATATTTCCCGAAGTGATGATATTTTCCAAGGGGCTTTGCGCCGAGGAAAATATCATCACTGAGGGAAATATTACGCCGAATCCCCCTCGCTCCGGGTCTATAAATGATATATTATACCGAAAGTTAAAGTACTCACTAAGTTCAGAATAAACTTAAATAAAACTTGCTGAATATTATAAAATACGCCAATATATTAATACAATTTTTAATTTCTTATGTATACCTGAGTTTTAACGCCGTTTCCTCTTTAAAATATTTGAGCAAGTATCCTTTGGATCATTAAAGGTAACATACAGTACGTCTTGAAAATGTTTTGCTAAGTCAAATATTCTGTACGAAAATACGAAATCACAAACAACAGCTCGCGAAGGCCATATTTTTTTAGAGCGTGGTGTCCACGCGTCACGCGTGAGCGTGGGATACTATAATATCCCACGGTGGATATGCCGTGGGATATTATAGTATCCCACGCTGGATTGCGAAATCATGAATTTGAGTGAAATACCGTAAAAAATCACGTGGTACAAATGCTGTTTTTTCATTGGACAATTTGAATTTGAGGTATAATATATCTGTTATATTCACCTGCAGATGAATATAACAAAATCGAAATTTTCAAAATGGCGGCTAGCCGTTTTGTTGAAAGTTAGTGATAAAGAAATAAGCGAAATTAAAATGAATTCAGACCAGAAAAACACAAAAAAACTTATACTAAAACAATTATTCGCCTCAGGCTCGGTGATTATTGGGGAATATTCACCTCGACTTCGTCTCGGCGAATATTCCCCGATAATCACCTCGCCTTCGGCGAATAATTGTTAATTCGAGTACAGTATATGCTAAAATAAATATTCCTTGAAATCTGTTTATCGAGATCTGAAAGAAATAATTTCGGGATCGTAAATGGTGAGGAACACAAGTTTGAGTGGTATCTCGTAAGAAATTAGTATCCTATAATACATACTGTACGTCTATAACTAGACTTGGTGGTCATAACATGACGTACATGTATGGGACCCAATGACTTTTTCTGCAGTAAGTCTGCTTCTTACAGAAAAGTAGGGAATTTTAGTGTATATGATTATATGTTTCCATTCTCTTCAGGCAATGACGCGCGTGATCAAGCAGTTACATTCACGTGACACAAGGTTACATTATTGTCCGGCTGATCATTGGCTATCGTCAAAAATCGAACTTCAAGTTGATTTGGTAAGAAGGAAGAATAATTGAAGCATTTCAGAGATGTTCGAAAGATCTTTTAATTACGGTTTCACGTTTTGACAATTTGACACGTTTTGCAGTTTTACTGAACCGTGCTTCCTTCTTTGAACAACTTTTGTCATGAATGTAATGATTTGCAGGCCTCGCCTAAATCAGAGTACAGACTCGTTACGTTCACGATCATAAGGCATATACAGACAACGAAGGAACTTCATTGAGTTCCCAAATATCACTCACTCGTGAGTCGAACTGAAGTGACCTCGTAGCTTATTTGGTAGAACAATGGACTAGCAAAGTAAAGGTCATGGGTTCGATTTCCACCCATAGATATATCTTATATACACTAGATAGCGCATCTCCTTCAGTAAAATTGAAGCCAAGAATATTCCAGCGGTTACCCCCATTTGAATAGATGGCGGCCATGTTGGTGTTTCCCACTCGCTAATAAACGCTTAAAAAACAACAATAACTTTAATTCATCACTTGATTAGTTTAAAAATGTATTTGGAATAGGTTTAACTTAATGTTAAAGTTCCCTGTTTAAGAAATAGAAAACATACCAATCTTCTCATTTCATGGGAATACCCTGAGCCTGCAATCACGGCTTCAATTTTTGAATTGCAGAATAATTAGATGCACTATCTAGTGTATATAAGATATCTATGTTTCCACCGCGATCATGCAAGCAAATTTTCAGCTTGCCCGGTGTAGACACACTGAGAGTAGTGTGGTATCGTTCCAAACTTTTGGCAATTTAAATCATTCGTACAGTACATAGACACATGAGTGACATGATTGTGTTAAATTTGAGACAACCACGTTTATTGTTGACGTATGGCTTATTCGTGCTTTAGTACAGCCTGGTATACAGTATGTACAGGGTGTCCCAAAAAAACCCGCAAAACCATTGAAATAACGTATTGTTAAAATTTAAATGCCTTAGCACTAAGCTGAACGCAAAGATGCGTAAAATATTGACAAGGCTGCATATATTAAATATTGACTTATTAAGAAATTAAAATATCTTTGTAAAGCACACGATTTTCTGCTCTTTAAAACAGCTTCTTAAACGGCCTTTTTATGCATAAATTTACGTACGTCAAGCTTTGATGTACGTGTGGGTTCAGCAGAGTGCTGAGGCATTCAAATTCTAACAATGCGTTTATTTCTAACAATACATTTATTTTTTGTGTTTTTTTGGAACACCCTGTATAGTGTCTATGATTTTGTGTACAGTATGTGTGTAGTGTCTATGATATAGTGTCTATGAGTTTATTGCTCTACCTTTGAAAAACAAACTACAAAATAGAAAAGTGTTGCAAGTGGATTTAGTGTCTGAATATTTATTTTGTTTTTCTGTTATATAGATAGATCTGGACTTATTTTTTCAGGATAAAGGTTTGCACAACTACTTGATGCGTATCTTTCATTTAAATGATGGAAACAGATTATTATTTTTACGCATTCTTCCTAATATATTTGTGTAGGAACGTTGGATCCAGCAGATTTTTTACATGGAATGCCTGGGAAGACATTTTGTCATGTCGCCATTTTAGAGCATATTCCTTTTGTCGTTCCATTTGTTGATCGTGTCAAGGTATAGTACAATGTAGAACATTGAACTCCATATAAACTGGAATGGTCAGTCCAATGATCAAAGCGACTAAGGAGATCTTTTAAGAAACCCGAGTCAGAGTGTCGCAGAGTGTAGTACATTACTGTACAATACACAAGTGCTATAAGTTGGGCACTCTATAGTGCTGGGAATATCGTTGATGTAGCATATATACAGTAACTATATACCTTTGAGGAATCTCTGTTCACATATACTAGCTATTGTGAAAACAACAATTGTATGGATTTTTGTTTTTCAAACCAGCTGTTTCAACGAATCCTAAGTCAAGATAAGGTTAGAAATGTGGGAAGTATGCACAATTTTTTAATGGGACCGTCTATTGAAGTGCGAATCAGAAGGAGTTCATTGTATCAGGATGCTTTTGACGAGCTGAGTGGTGATCAAGGTAAGGGTTGATTTATTGTGAATTTTTCTACTAAGTACTATTGTACTGTCCAGAAAATCCCGGACTTGTTGGACAGAAGAATGGCCATTCCGCTGGTCACTATATTGCACGGCATCGTGGGCTCTGTCAAGAATTTTCGCGTGCTCTTTGTTTTACTGCCACTTTGACTTATTTATAACAAAATATACCAAATGCGCTGTTGATTTTTCTTGTCTCACTTCTGGGATATTCTCTGTATTTTTATTGCAATAAAAATTTGAATTTATTGCAAGTTGCGCTGCTCTCAGCCAAATATTTTTAATATATTAATCAGGCATAAACAAAAACTGTATTTTATTTTAATATATTATTCCAGATCTAAAGCAAAAGATTCACGTGCAACTTATAAACATACAAGGCTTGGAAGAAGCCGGTGTTGATGGTGGAGGTCTTTTCAGGTAATGATGATGATTTGTTTGGGGTGGCGTGGGCGTCAGTGCAACGCCTTCATCTCTCAGTTCGTGGATTCAGTTCTCGCTACGGACTATGTATAAAGGCCGTTTTCCACTAGGCGAATTTTTTCGCGCGACGCGAAGCGAAAACCGAAATCCGGCAACGTGATTGGTCGGCGAAAAAATTCGCGGCGAAAAAGTAGGATCGCTTCCTACTTTTTATCTGTTCGCGCGAATAAATTCGCCTAGTGGAGAACGGGCTTAAGGAGTCCGTCAACACTCTGCCGAACGTCGTGGGTTTTATCTCCGGGTGCTCCGGTTTCCTCCCACAGGGAAAGTTGACAGGGTGGGTTCAGTGAACTCTAATAATAACTGGAAGGCTAAGTCAGGGGGGGGGGAAGTTGAAGCCGTGTTTGAAGCTTTTTTTGTAGGTAGACCCAGTCCTTTTTAAATTTTTTTTTCAAAATATGCACATTTTTTGATCAGAAAAATCTTGCCCCAAAATATTAGTTATACTACCAAATTTAATTTATATCAGTAGTATTATAAATGAATTTAATATTCGCAAAGCAAACAAATCACGAATTAGCAACCATAAGCATGAACGGTCTGAAAAACCGCGCGTTTTAGGCTGCTTTTTCTGAGTTTTTGGAAGTTTAAGATAAAACTAAGACGTCATACCTCAGGAATTTTTTATACCCATGCAAAATACATCTGTATGCGAAGTTTCAAGAATATTTAGCGTTTTAACGTCGAAAAAAAAGCATTTGAAAATTGACAAAAATATTGCCATATTCAAAGTGCTCATAGTGGCCAACAAGATGCCGATGACGAAAATAACATCACTTGAAAAACGCCAATTTATTTATGTTTAAGAGCGACTAAAACAAGGACTAAAAGCTCAGGATCAACAACAATACCTGGGGTTTAGTACAACATAAGTTTTGGGACTGTCAAAATGTTTTATAGTATATATTTTTGAGTTGCACGGCGAGATTTCCTTCGGCACATCCAAACTTTCGTCATTTTTTCAAAATACAAAAGCAAAATTCCTTACTTTTTGCTGCAGAGAGATGTAAAACAGTCGGAACTAATTGGAAACTTGGTTTAAATCCCAAGTCATTGTTGTATTCCCATGGGAAAAGTGTTTTTCTTGCAAATTTTTGCTCGAAAACAAACTTTTGACAGAATTTTTTTCACTCCTCAAAACTCTCCTTAGTCCTTTTGAAAGCTGATTTTCCCGCGCGCCGGCTTCAACGAATCATAGACTTTCATCATAGGAGTTAGCCTTCCAGTTATTATTAGAGTTCACTGGGTGGGTTAGGATAAACACAGTTAAGAAAGTAATATCACAATTGTTGTAAAGGTATAGGAAAGTAATATCACAAGTGTAGATTAAGTATGTAATTAGGTAAGCGTAATAAAGCGCATTTGGTCATCCATGTCTAAATTTTTCGCCATAGGAATATTAATCGTAATCGTTGTTTGGTTTGATTTACAATGTCGTATTTGTATTGCTTGAGAAAATTATTAACTTCTTATTAACCGAACGCGAGGTCTGTACAGAGAATTATCGGACCAAGGTCTTTTTTGACCGAGATCCGATATTTATCTATACATACCGAGCAAGCGAGGTTAATAAAAAGTTTATTATATGGCATTTATTGGCATTTATACTTGAAACAAACAAGAAGTGCATGATTTGAAATGCATATCAGTAGCGTGGTACACATTTGGTCGAAGAAAACAAAAAATACCAATGTATTCCTTCTTTTACACTTTCCCATTCGCAGATATCTTCTTAATAACAAATTAAATTATAATTTTCAACTTTTCAATTAGTTTTGCTGTTTTGTTTTAAAATACATGCGTTTGTTTACGGGAAAATAATGGACCGCTGAAAGTGCTTCTCAGCCAATCACAGTCCGCCATTTCACCGGAAGTAATGCTTGCCATATAATAAATATTCAATAATCTTGATAATTGATATTTTATGATGAATTAATTGCAAATGTATTGGACAAGTTGTTTATATAATTGTTCTAGATATTTTGACAGGATATACTCCGTTGTTTATCACATTAATTATTTGCAGGGAGTTTTTGAATGAATGTCTCAAAGCTGGATTTGATCAAAATATCGGATTTTTCTCGTCCACAAATAATGAACTACTTTATCCAAATCCACAGGTAGTGAAATCAATATTTCCGATAGGAGATTGATTTATTATTTCTCTTTTGTTATCTCAATCACCGAATTTTGAATTTTCTCAGTTTTTCTCATTCCAATTAGGGCGTTCCCATTCGACAAAACTTACGTTTTGATTTTATTTGATTTTAAGGCACATCTTGTTGAAAGAAATGTTTTCAAGCATTATTATTTCCTTGGGAAAATGCTGGGAAAGGTATTGCATGATATATTTCAAATACAGAATAAGAACCTTTCTTTAATTTCAGTTCGCTACGCTGTTTAATACTATAGAGAGGTTCAGTTTTGACTTCCACTACCGCTAGGTGTACCATTACCTTTCACTGGCTTAGTAACATCTGATTGGTTAATCGAACATATCAAACGCACCTGATTGGTTAATGGTAGCGGTATAGTGGAAGTGAAATCTGAACCTCACTTATGTCATCGGCTGTGCAAAATGTTTTCTTGTTATTTTTATTTGCTGTTTTCCAGCAGTGCATTGACTCTTGGTGACGGGAAAAGCGTAAGCAAGCGCCTAGGTCTAAGAGATGTTAAACTTGAGCGCCGATTATTTATTATAGCAAGTTTAATAAAAGTTTCATACTTCCCAGAATTACACTGTTTATACATTTTAAGATATAGTAAAAAACAAATTCCGAAAATACAGGACGTCTTGAGAATTCAATATATAATTCAAAACAAGACGCAGTTTGAGACTGTAGTTTGAGACTGTATATGAATTCTCAAGATGTCCTGTTTCAAGACGCAGTTTGAACAAGACGCAGTTTGAGACTGTATATTGAATTCTCAAGATGTCCTGTATTTTCGGAATTTGTTTTTTACTATATTTTTTAAAATTGTCGGCTGGTCATGGTTTTTGGACATTTTAAGATGTTTGGTTGTTATGTACTCTTAATGTTGTATATGCACGTACTGTATACAGTTGGATTTTACTCTGGTTCTGCTTTCAAACAAAGAAACAAGGCAAAGTTTTTTCCATCGCCATGCACTTCCGTATTATGCTATCCTTTACTTGAACGCAAATGTTTAACTGCTTATCACTCAATATCATCTCTCAATCGTGCATTTTTGAACGTTACACTTCAATAAAATGTGCTTGAAATTATATTTATTTTAGGCTATATATGAAAACATGCTGGTTGAACTTCCGTTTGCCAGTTTCTTCCTCTGTAAGTTATTGAGTCCATCCAACGCAGATGTTGATATCAATCATTTGGAATCACTGGATCCAGAAATGTACAGGTACACCATGAGTTTGAAAGGAACTTTAGTTCAATACATTTGTATAGACGTTCTCTGGTTTAAGTCTTTATTATGAATAATCCTGGTTTCGCTTCAAACATATAATTGAACTTGTGCATGCAAGGATTGGAAACTTAGCTGAAGTGCATTCAACAGCAAATTTTTGTCTACATTTGTACAAACCCGTGAATTCCTTCCTTATCACGTGTGTATCGTATTTTCACCCAACTTACCACTATCAATCAGTTTGCTTTTTAACCCGCTTTTTAATGATTAATTTAAACTTTCTCAGGCCTAACAAAAAATATCCTGTGTTTCTGGTTTTTCCACCGACTTCTTCTTTTCTGCCGACCCTAATGTTTTATTACAATTGGTTCCGTTGTCTGCTTACCTACCGACCCTATTTTTTTGTAATTTAAAAAAAATTCCGTCTACCTACCCTAACACGGAACAACAGTATAATTATTTTTTGTTAGGCCTATAGGTTGATTCGGGAAAAAGACAGTATCCATGCAGGTGACGGATAGGGACCTGAATTTGGAAATGATCTACTGAATAGAAAACATTGCTATATTCTACCGCTATCGACTTTCCAACCCACTTAATACCACTATAAATAATTGCAGGCGGACAATACGATTGTTACAAATCCTACTTTATACATTTTCAATTAAACCACGCTTTCCTCAATCACGGTATAGTCACTTCAGTTCAGGATAATTGCTACAGTATATATCAATCTGATCTTTGTGATGTTTTAAGGAATCTACTGTATCTGAAAGATTGTCCAGATGTTGAAGATCTTGCACTTAATTTTACTGTCGTTAACAACAACCTGGGGGAATCTGAGGTACATAAACGAGCGATTGTTTTTGGCGCAATGGTTGGAAAGAATATTGCATTGCCATCGCACAAGGTCGCTACACATTACACTTGTGGCAATGAGAGACTAAAAAACAAAACGACATGAATGCAACTTTTATAACACACTCTATTGGCTGTCTTTGAGAATTAAACTGCCATTCATAAAGCTTGACCACAACTATTTAGATTGCTTCATCCTTGAAATGATCACAGAACGTCCTCAATAGACCTTTCCCCTTATGAGTGAAATTTTGATCTAGATATGCCTGGACAAAAATTTCATCACAGCTTGAAAGAGCATCACAAAATTAGTAATATTCCGAGTTTCGTTGCGAAATGTTGTAAAATGCGGATAATATAGCGAAGTTTGCCGTTTTTCAGTCATTTTGCATTACAAACGGGAAATTGATAATCAGATGATCAAACTGATTATCAATTTCCCATTTGTAATACAAAATGACTGAAAAACGGCAACGCTATATTATCCGCATTTTACAACATTTCGCAACGAAACTTCGGAATATTACTAATTTTGTGATGCTCTTTCAAGCTGTGTTGAAATTTTTGTCCAGACTTGTCTGGTTCAAAATTTCACTCAAAAGGGCAAAGGTCTATAGGACAGCTAACTTTACAACAGTATGGTAACACAGAGAAATTTTGAGAAATTTTACGAGAAAATTTTGACATTCTTGCATGGTGATAATAATTAATAACAGAGTGCAGCATAAGTTGTTTGTGCCAGCACTGACTGAAGTGTTATCGTTAGCTCGTGTCGCTCGTGTCGCTCGTGTCGCTAATTTAATGCTCCTGATGCATAAGTATAAAATTTGTATTTAAAGTTGCAGATGAAGGGTATTTGTAGATGGACATTTCGAACGGAAGATTATGTACAACTTTGTATAGCTATACGACTTTGCAGCTCAGTTGGTTAGAGCACTGCACCGGAATGGCAGGGCCACAGGTTCGATTCCTGTCAGAGGGCCTACATATAGTTGCATTTCTAGCAGCTGTTCCTGGTTAGGTATGTGAATGTTGTATATAATCTTCCGCTCGAATTTTCCATCCACAAAATCCCTTCAACTGTTAATTTTATCGTGATTTCCCAAAATCTTAATATCTATAGTTATTCGTACATTTTATAGTCATTCGTCTTACGTTCTGTATTATTCTCAATTTATCATGATCAGGTAGTCGAGTTAAAACCAGGCGGTCGAGATATTGTTGTTACCAACCAGAACAGAATTGAGTACATTCATCTAATGGCTGACTACAGATTAAATAAACAGGTTTGTGAAAAGGCAGAAAACAACATTACAGTCATGCGATACAATAGAGCGTTTGCACATGACGTCACAGCCGCCATGTTGGTGTTCCAATTTAAAAGAATTTAATTAGACTCTTTTGTCTAAAACACCAATATGTATGGCCGCGATCCAATGGTTTTTGTTGAGTTGGGCCCTGGGGAATGAGTGCAAACGCTCTATACATTAAATCATGTGTATAATATTATCTTACTGTATAATAAAATAAGGTAATGTTCACAATAATTGTCGAGAAGGAGTATGTTCATAGTATTGTCATATATACATGTATTTATATATTTTTTTAAGAAAGCTGCGCATTGATAGGGATACCACTACCTGAAAAATACAAGCAGATTACATCAGGTTTTGTAACTGAGATTTTGTAATTTTCGTAAGATCGTGTAATTTTCTCGACCGACGCTACGTACTAACTTCCGACGAAGGGCCTGCGTGACAGGCGGATTTTTACGGGCAGCGAAAATTAGGTTCCTTTGCCTCCCTAGTTTTCGCTGCCCGTAAAAAACCGCCTTCCACGCAGGCTACCCGACGAAGGACCTCAAAACGTCGAAGTTTTGGTTGTATGTTTCAGGTAATTGTATCCCAATCAATCTGCAGCTTTCTTATTATCGTAACTATCGTTATTTTGTGTCAGATTCGTCCTCATTGCAATGCATTTCGATCGGGATTATCGAGTGTCATCGACATCTCTTGGCTGCGTATGTTTGATCCCAATGAACTGCAGGTAAATATATTGCAAAGTAATGAATTTGTGTGAAGTTTCTCCTTCTGGTTACGCTGAAACTGTTATCTAAACTTTACTTTCTTCTTTTCTCCTCAAGATGCTAATTTCTGGTGCCCAAGTTCCAATAGACATTGAAGATCTAAAAAATCATGCTTCATATTCTGGTATTGACACTGAAGCTTTTTTATTACTTTGATTTACACTGTTTCTAAAATACGTGTTAAAATCTCCCTCAAATACTTTAAAATATTGCTAACCAGTATCATTTTCATTCTGTTGTATTTTTCGAAGGAGATTTCAACGAGCAGCACCCTTGTGTACAAAATTTCTGGTCAGTTGTGTTAAGTTTCAACGATGATCAACGTCGTCAGCTTCTGAAGTTTGTTACCAGTTGTTCAAGGCCTCCCCTTCTTGGCTTTAAGGTACGTAATTATTCCTTGCGCAACCGTCTTTATCTCACATCTGAGAATGTGGGCCTGATTCTCTTGCTGGACTCAAGACATTCATATGAAAAGAATCTGCTAACATCAACCCCAAATGTTGTGGGGTTGTCAGGTACCCACTGGAAAAGTTGGCTGTGTGGACTATAGTATTCATTGAACGACCCATCAGCAGTGGCGTAGCCAGCCCGACAGTTTGGTCATGCTATGCATAAACCGTGAAAACAATCAATTTCTGAAGAAATGAGTAATGATAATGATTTGAAATTTGCATAGCATAACCAAATTGTCGGGCTGGCTACGTCCTGCCCATCAGCACTATTGGCTGTGGCCACAATTGCTTTGTTATAGTATGTACCAATAGTCGGACAGGTCATATTGACTCGGTTTACGCTTTACATTTAGGATACCTAAGTAGACAAATAAGCAACTGTATAGTTTCTGTTGTGGCTAAAATATAAATTTTGCAGGAATTTGACGACTCTTACGTTTTGTCTCCAAAGTATTACAACCTCTAGCGCAAGTTTCGTGACTTCCACCTAACATGGCATACACGACAACAACAGAACCCCGTTGTATAGGACTTCATAGGTATATTTATCTGTTCTAGGACCTCTATCCTCCCTTCACGATACATAACGCTGGTGCAGAAGATAGACTACCTTCAGCGAGCACATGTGTTAACTTACTCAAGTTACCCGCGTACCCAGATCGTGAAACCATGCGGCAAAGATTATTGTATTCTATTGAGTCTGGTGCTGGGTTTGAACTCAGCTAATAAGGAATAATTCCTGAAATTTATTTTGTGTGAGTATGAATTGTGAGCTAACCGCCCTTCATGCGAATTTATGGGAACGAGGCTCCAATACCAAGGAAGTTTACGTCACGTTGTTATTGGGTTATTCGCGCACTAATGTAGTATATAAATAACGAGTACATCATATTTTTCTTTATACAGATATTGACATTTACAGGGCTGTAATGAATAGAAGTGCAATCTTCAAGATCAACTTGTGGGAATAACAGTAAGCTGACATTTATAGCAATATCTCGAGACGAAGTATATGAGATAAAAATGGAAATCAGAAAACGATTTTAACCAGCATACCATAAACAGTTTTGAGGATGTAGACAAATCTTCCGGATCAAAATCGGTACTATCGTTGGAAAGAATACTGTGGTCAACCATAAAAGTTGTTTTGCTATAATTCATGATTATACATACAGCTATTTCTATTAATATCAAGGTCGTCCCCGAGCAAAGCGGAAAAGTCGAATACGAGCGTGAAAGGCTTGCTGCCGCTAAAAAATTCATTAATTTTTTAGCGATTCTCAGCAAGCCTTTCGCGCTCGTATTCGACTTTTCCGCTTTGCTTGGGAACAACCTTAATTGAAATAGCTGTATACCTTGAGCCATGCAGCAATCATAGCTTTTTGAAGGTACAAGGCGAGATATAAACTAATCAAGAAATTGTGGTGAAATAACCATAGGCGTACGGGATTCTAGGGGAGGTGGGGCAGTTGAAAGTTTGCCCGAATTATTATGGAGGATTGCAGTGAAATGAAATTTACATATTTTATTATAAATCTGGCTGAATTTTCTTGATTTTGCCTAGCATTTACCCGATTTCCATGGTTTCCTAAAGTTTTTTTTAGGGGGGTTAGTTGTTAACCCCCCCCCCCCGCCCTCCTCCTGTCGCGTACGCCTATGGAAATAACTGCATGAGTTGCAGCATGCACTGCTAAATAATCATGGATGATGTCCAGTGTGTTAGTCTATTATTAACCGTGGTCTATACAACCGTATACGTACAGTATACCCGTGGTATATAGGGTATATTCCTGCTTTCAAAGTTGGCAACGAAGGTACAGTTGTGTGGCAAGTGGAGTAATGACAGTTAATTAAATAGCATGCATATACTGTAGATTCAGTAGTGGTATGAACAGCATCAATTACAATTTAAAATGTATTATACATGTTTATATTGAACTGAGCGAGAAGTCCGGACTGTATAGGATATTGGTCGAGTTCTTGTTTTCGTTTGTGTATGGACCAAGTCGTAGGCGAGGTCCATATACAAACGAAGAAAGAATGAGACTAGTATCTCTATAATCACTGTCTGGACCGAACAAGCTCAGTCAAATAAGTTATTTATAGTATATCGCTAAAGCAAGAGCATTCTTCGAAAAACAATGTTTATATAAATTACGTCGTCGTAGAGAATTAATTTGTTTTCAACACTATTTGAACATTTAAAAACGCAGGATTTTAATTTTTTGTAAACACTTTTTGACCAAGGTAAAACGGTAACAACATATTTTCAGATATTAATACATTAAAAGTCGAAATCAGAAATTTTTGGCCAATTTCACTTTAGTTCGCCGTTCACTGGAGGCAAGTATTAAGTATCACTCAGTCAGCATTTTAAATTTTATAACAAGTGGTTTTATATATATGTAAACGACGTTTCAACACAAACTATAGAGTAGAAAAGTAAGTTATTTTGTATAAAAACTTACTAAGGTCACATATTTATAGTCTTTTACTGGGAAAAGAGTTATATTTAACTTTTCTTCAGCTATGCAGCTGTCCATCTTAGCGTTCATAGACTTCATACTATGAGATTTGTAAGCGGTCCGTACTGCAGGTTACTACTAGACCAGGCGGAGAATAGGGGAATCGTCGCCAAAAAGCGAAATTTATGAGACCAAGTCAGTTTGGTCAATTCGAGGGCGCTGATTTCGAAGCTCGATGTTATACGGAGCATTTCGGGGGCCTTAAGCCTCGTTTTCGCCTCACAATCTTCGTTCTCAATCAGTTTTATACAGGGTGTATAAAAAAAAGTAAGACAATCTTGAAATTGCTCTCAATTCCACAATTCTGTTCATGAAATGTAATTTTTGATATGTATGGATTGCTTCAGTTCTTAAATTATGGAAAATATAAAAAAAAATTGAAAACAATAAATTTTGCTATCCAGGGGGGTGGTCAACGTTTGCTCCCCTAAAAGTGGCTTGCGCGCGGAAATAACAAACGGTATTCTTTATTTGAGTTCATGTATGAAAAGTTCGCTATTTGTTGCATTTATGATAAAATTTTGGCAGGATTTTGCCGAGTACAAATCCTCCGAAAAGCCTATAAAAACGTTACATTTTTCTCCGTTGGTGCTGTTCTTGCTTCATTATGAATTCATTTTTATCCCATGAGAGTTCCATGGAATTTCCATGGAATTTGTGCTTTCGAGTTATTTGTGCTGAAACGCATTTTTTCGTATAATACGCCGTACAATTTGAAATAGCGATTCCACAATTTACCCCGCAGCAGAAAGCTTTTATGGTATCAGAGTCCCTCCGTAGCAACAACATAAACTTGGTTCGCCAAAGTTTCACTTCAAAGTTTTATTTACTTAAAGAATTAAGATACATAATTAACATGACTCATTTAAAATCAAAATGCAAATGCAAATTTGTGAATTCATAATGAAGCAAGAACAGCACCAACGGAGAAAAATGTAACGTTTTCATAGGCTTTTCGGAGGATATGTACTCGGTAAAATCCTGTCGAAATTTTATCATAAATGCAACAAATAGCGAACCTTTCATACATGATCTCAGATAAAGAATACCGTTTGTTACTTCCGTGCGCAAGCCACTTTTAGGGGAGCAAAAGTTGACCACCCCCCTGGATAGCAAAATTTACTATTTTCAAATTTTTTTATATTTTCCATAATTTAAGAACTCAAGCAACCATGCATATCAAAAAATAAATTTCATGAACAGAATTGTGGAATTGAGAGCAATTTCAAAATTGTCTTACTTTTTTTGATACACCCTGTATAGAGTACTGGAATATCAAAATTTCAAATAAGTTTGTTGCAAAATTTAATACTACCATTGAAAAGATCTTGAAAATCTGGTCAAAAATATATAAAATCTGGTCAAAAATATATAAAATCTGGTCAAAAATATATAAAATCTGGTCAAAAATATATAAAATCTGGTCAAAAATATAAGGCTTGCCATGATCGGATTTAACTTTACAAATATATTAATTGTCAAAGCTTGCAAAAAAGTGCTGACTCGGGCAAATTTAACCAACTTTACGGCTTGATATCTCCGGAACGGTAGGTCCGATCATGGCAAGCCTTATATATTTTGACTAGATTTTCAAGACCTTTTCAATGGTATTGATAATTTTGCAACAAACGTATTTGAAATTTGATATTCCAGCATTCTTATATAAAACTGGCCGAGCACCAGGCTTGTAAGGCGAAAACAATGCTGAAGGCCCCCGACACGCTCCCGTCCGTATAACATCGATTTTCGAAATCAGCGCCCTCGAATTGACCAAACTGACTAAGATTTGGTCTCATAAATTTCGCTTTTTGGCGACGATTCCCCTATTCTCCGCCCGGTCCATACCAACCGCTCAGGAACCAATCAAAATGCCCCATTTTGCAGATGGACCGCCTTGCCATATAACAATAAATATTAAAGGCAAGTTTGTAATTTTGTAAATAAGGTATACAAATTACAATCTTATTTGGTAAACTTAAAATTAGAAAATTCTTCGCAACAAAACGTTCTATTGAGTGTTACGTCGCTATAGCGACGAAATTAAAAGTGAGTTTGGCAACCAACAACGGCGACGGCCGAAACCAAATTACTGATACTTTTGTATTTGAGCGAAAACACAGCCTCGTACCCAGGCGCAAACAACGTACTAAAAATAGCAACACTGCAGTGTTTTTATATAGATCAGTGGCTAAGATGAGCGGGGGTGCTTGGCCGGGGAGGACACGACGGGCGCGCTCATCTTAGCCACTGATCTATATAAAAACAAAGTATGGTTGCTATTTTTAGTACGTTATTTGCGCCTGGGTACGAGGCTGGCGAAAACATACATTACTAAACCTTTAAATAGTACTTAAAATCCTCATTAAAAATTCATATAAACCTTGTAGCAAATCATGTCAGCCATAACATGTCACGTGCAGTGACTTTATATTTGATAAAAGTCATCCTAAAGGCCCATTTACACGATACGATTAGTTGTATACGATTGTCATTCTGACGAATGAAAACGAGTGCTAATGCCACGTTATTGCTCATTCGCTAATGGCGAAATTTGAAATGTGACGTTTGTACGCGTGTTTATTCAATCACATACGCCAGAGTAAGAATCGTATACAACTAATCGTACCGTGTAAATGGGCCTTAATTAGTACGATTATATAATTGTTCATCCTAATTAGTATTCTTTGGTTATCGTATTTTAAGCCATTTAAAGCACGCGTAGGAGTGTTTTATCAGATATAAAACGCTCGGCTAGTCGGCTGCGCCTCGCGTTTTATATGTGATAAAACACTCCTACGCGTGCTTTAAATAGTACTTATCTTTCTTTTAAACAACCCATTCCACTTGCCATTTAAGTAGCAATAGTAAGTGAATTCACATACACACAACCCCTAACATACGAACGTCGCCATTTTCCGGGCACCCTAAAACGGCCGAACAAGCTGCCACCAAGCGCGCAAAGCATTACCATGAGACTCAATGCCTTTACATCTTTTCCGTATCGTTTTCGTTTTTGGAGATATTTCGACTATAAGCAGCGTGCAGTCCTTTGGTTTTCGTTCACTATGCACAACATCACAACTGGGATAAAAATAACTTTTATTTTCCCAACGAGACGTTTCATTATACGAACCTGAAACTCTACGATCGAGGTTCCGCACGACATAACCTTTGCCGCTTTAAGCCTGGTTTCCATATATGCATATGGTCGTAAAACTAGAGTCACGATCTTTCTCAACGACCAGTTTATAATAGTTTATACCTGTAAACCACGTATAAATCATAAGTATTCTCTAGTTATAATCACTCCGCGTATTTTCTGTTCTAAAATGTTGTATTTCGGCTGATGAGAAAGATCGTGAGTGACTCAATCTTTACGACCATATGGAAACCAGGCTTTAGAAACGCCTGTTAATCTGCGGACTTCTATGCATTAACAGAGATGCATTAAACTGATCTTAATTTTCTGTTCGTATTCATTAGGCCGTCCACTGCTAGCCTGCGAACAGGCTCTCAAGCTGAATTGAGAGCCTGCATCGATGACTAATGAATTTGAATATCTGCGTCTTAAATCGTGACGCGAATTCGGCATGTTGTACCCTGGAGGCATGTTGTAAAACATGGACTGGACCTTGGACTGGACTGGACTTGTAAATTATGGACTGGACTCGTAAACTATGGACTGGACTTGTAAAACATGGACTTGTAAAACATGGACTTGTATAAAACATGAACTTGTAAAACATGGACTTGTAAAACATGGACTTGTAAAACATGGACTTGTATAAAACATGGACTTGTATAAAATGGACTTGTAAAACATGGACTTGTAAAACATGGACTTGTAAAACATGGACTTGTAAAACATGGACTTGTAAAACATGGACTTGTAAAACATGGAACTTGATCTTCGAGCAAATTTATTATCGATGATATGTTTCTCTATATGTACACCTATAGATATAGAAACAGGTAAAAATACACGAATTATTCTGCTGTGCTCGTTTGCCTCTGCCCCCACCTTATTTTGACCCCGGAATTGGACAGACAATAACGAAATAAATTGGACCAAGTCAACATAATTTAACTTCGAAAATATTTAATCCTTTTTAGCCGATATCGATGTTAAATAGTTTTTTAACTAACATTTTGACCAAAAAAGTCCACTATTTGCATGGCATGCATTTTCTATCATAGCTAGAATGTTGTAATTAATTAAGCTAAATTCAGTTGCAATTATTAAACTATTCAATCGTACCGTGTGAAAGGAAAGCTTGGCTGTAGCAATGTCCACAAACGGAAATTGCCAACACCGTCAATCAACTGAGTTCAAGATACATGTTATATGATCTGGGAACATGGGCGTACCGGGCGGGCGGGGGGGGGGGGGGGGGCAGTCCCCCCAGTTTGTTGGGCAAACAAAGCCAGTCGGACAATATTGGCTTATTATAAAAATAAATGGGACAAATTCTGTCAATTTTGTGGGAAATTCTTTCAATTTCGTGATCAATTTTGTGATGTCTGGAAAATTTGTAAGATGTTCCGAAAAATGTTGGTATGTCCCAAAAAAATTTTGGACCCCTAAAATGGTACATTGACCGAAATTTTTTTGGCGATGGGAGGGGGGTAGGTCGCCAAAATTAATTTGTTCCGGAAAAAATTTTTCGGCAGTAGTCGGGCACAATCCAAAAAAGTCGGGCAAATTTCTTTCCGCCCCCCTAATTTTTTCCTTCCGGTACGCCCATGTCTGGGAACTCGACGATGAATTTCAGTCAATGATTCTCAAGGCCAAGAGATCGAATTTTTGCGATTGAACTAATTGTAACTATTCAAAATTTGATCATTACGATAACTTTACCTGTTTGTTTTAACTCAAAAACTGAAATAAACTTTATTGCATGCAAGAAGAGCTAATTTAGATTGTGATATATAACACTAATGTGATATATTACTCCATCGAAAGCCAGAAAAGCGCTATCCAACTGCGTCATCAACGACTGAACTTGTGAATAAATTTTCAGATTTCTTCAATAATAAGATTGCTATTATATGGAAAGAACTAGCCATCGATTCTTCCCACTGTAATCAGCGAAATCAAGAGGAACAATATGCACAATGCGTTAAATTCATTAACTTTCAAGAAGTCACGGAACATGAGATTGAAAATGTTATTGATAAAGTTGGTAAAAAATCTTGTGAACTTGATCCAGTTCCCGCAAAAATCTTTCAAGGTTGTCAGAAGACTCTCTTACCTATAATTACTAAGATCAGTAATAAGTCACTTCAGTCAGGTTGTATGCCTGAGATACTAAAAGAAGCCGTGTTGAAACCAAAACTAAAGAAAGATTCGCTGGATTACGAAGAATACACAAATTTCCGACCTATTTCAAATTTAAAATTCCTGTCTAAAGTAATTGAGAAGGTTGCTGCCGGTCAGCTTCTGGAACACTTGGCTAATAACAAATTAGAAGAACCCTTCCAGTCGGCATATAAACGTTTTCATAGTGCAGAAACAACCCCATTAAAAGTACAAAACGATATTCTTGTAGCCATTGATAATCGTAAGTGTGTGGTGTTGCTATTACTAGATATGTCAGCAGCATTCGATACTGTTGATCACGAACTTTTACTACAACGAATGTTCAAAAGATTTGGGATAGATGGGCAAGTGTTGAAATGGTTTCAGTCCTATCTTCAGAATAGAACGCAAAGTGTAGTGATTGACGGTGTTAAATCTATCTCTAAAGACTTGCGCTGTGGAGTCCCACAAGGATCAGTTCTCGGCCCTATACTATATTTACTATACACCTCACCCCTTGGTGATATCATCAGAGGTCATGATCTTGATTTTCACTTTTATGCAGACGACTCGCAATTATATCTCGCTTTTGAGTCAACCACTGAAGGAA